AGAAGTGATACAGAAAAGTTGTAAATTTAAAACAAATAAAGGACATAAAGAAATGAAAACATACTTGAACTGATTGTTCTGTAACTGGAAGCAGTTGTTTCAGCTGAGACATAACTTTCCTCAAGAGCAGCTGTGCTCCATCTCTTCTGTCCCCTTCTCCAGAAATATCTAGCAACATAAAATGCATGATGGGGCTTAAATACCCCAAAGGAACCAGATCCTGACTTATCCTGGAATGGTCAGCCCTGGTTAATACTTGGACAGGAAACTGCCAGCAAATCCCAGGTGCTGTAAGCTATATTTCAGAGGAAGGAACTGGCAAAAATCACCTCTGAGTATTCTTTGCCTAAGCAAACCCTATGAAATTCATGGATCACCATTAAGTCAACTGGTGACTTGAAGGCACGTACACACACAGTAGAGTCACATAGTGTTCTTCTTGATCTTCAAGAGTTCCTCATAACACTATATACTCCTGTGATACTGGCATATATTGCTGGTCTTCAATGCATATGAGTGTTTGTCAGAATATGCATGTGTCTATATACTAAGGGCCAGTACTGACCGGCATAAAGGGCTGGCCTGGGGGCAGAGTTGGGGCATGGCAGCCACATGCCAGCTGCTCTGCCTCCGCCTCCAGGCCAAGCAACCACATGGTGGGTGTGCTGCCCAAGCAACCACATGGCAGGTGTGCTGCCCAAGCAACCACATGGCGGGTGGCAAAAGTGTGTGTCTTCAGTGCAGTGTTTACATTCGCTGTGCTGAAGAAGCAGCAAAAAGCTGCTGCTGCCGCAGGTAGAACATCCTTTCTGTGGTGCAAAAAGGAGCTGCTTATTGCAGCTTCTTTTTACACCATGGAAAGCCCAGATCGGGGCTGTGGCATGTGGTTGCAGCGGCCCTGATCCAGCAAGGAAAGGGGCAGTGTCCTGCCACCCCTTAGGGGTCATCTGTTGCTGAACTGCAACATCTATCTGTCCTAGCCAACATAGGGCCTCGGCAGACAACTAATAGAGTCGTCTTTGAGGCCCTGAAGAGGAGGGGCAGCCGCACAAGCGGCACCCCTTCCTCTTCCTGAGGTCGCCCTCGGAGTTGCCGGCCCTCCGCACGGCCGGCGCTCCGGGGATGACCTCACGCCGCAGCGACCACATGCGCTGTGGCGGAAGAGTCAGGGAAAGTGCACCCGCCGCTTTTAGGGCGCACTTTCCCTGACATCTAAAAGGAGCACCAATTTGGAGCTCCTTTTAGATACGCCGCAGGAGTGCCGCGGTGCGGAGGCTGCGGTCCCACGGCGCTCCATCTGGCGGCGTCTCCGGGGCCTCCGTCTGCTGAGGCAGATAGCCAATGTTGAAGAACACTTACATCAGAAATATGTTCTTTAAATTCAGCAACATCAGGAGAGCTGACTTTTGCCCACTCCTGCTGTATTCAGTAGTACATAGCATAATAGTTAGTTTATTAGATTATGGGTGACTAGAATCCTATACACAGTTAACTGGAAGTAATGGATAGAATCAGCTAGTAAAACACATTGAGCTTTAACAAAATGACTCAGCTTCAGCCATGTGAAATACAAACTTTTGATTTGAAATGCAGAATAATTTGCAATGATGTAACATAATTTCAACCATAAACATGAATTAGGAACCTCAGAAGAGAAGTGGAAAGTATCATGCCTCTGATTGTTTTCTTTCTTTTTTGAATTTCTCAAAAAGAATTTGTCACAAAGCATAGTGCAACTTGAAGGCCTTATTATCACCTTATTTTGTTGCCAGAGGATAGAGAGTTGTCACTTATTCTAGTGCTCTCACAAATGACATCACTGTTTCTACTCTGAGATTGTTCTGCAGCTCAGTTTTCCTGTGTGCTTTTTGCAGTTGTTCAAGCCTTAAAACTCCATGTAAAAGGAGATAACAGACTAAAGGCGAGTCTACACCAGCTAAAATATTCTGGGATGCTCCCAGAGTATTCTGGCCCCAGAGCTGCCTGAAATTTCCCCCATTACCTCTGCACTTCGGAGCAACACTGGATGACTGCCTACACATGCTTCCCACTGTGACTCCTGGCACCACAGCTGCTGGTAGAAGTCACTCCCTCTAAGGTCAAAAACAAGGCTCCTAGTGTCGATCATGTGGCTGGGTACATCATTGTGACCTCAGAGGGACCAACTTGTGCCAAACAGCACAGTTTGTCACATGTGTAAACAGCTGTCTGGTATTGCTCTGGAGTGCTTTGGGTTTCCTGGAAAATCCAGACCAAAAGGTAGGCCTTTTAATCCAATTTGATGGTAGATGGACCAAATTTGATGCAGAGCTGGCCTCATGTTGTGAAGATAGTCCACAGTCAAATTGGGGCTTTGGCCCTGCATCATGAAGACAGAGCACTATGCAGGCATGGGGAAACCACTTTAAATGGACCATGCAGATATATCCTAAGAGCACTCACTCTGTATCCATCTCTCACACTTCAATCTACTTACTTCCCAATAAGTTTGCATGTCAGGGTTGAGGATACTGAGCACTGAAGCCAAATATGACCTCCCCAAGATCCCAGTCCTTACCTCTAGTGTTCCCCAGATGCCTAATAATAATAATAATAATAAGTTTTATTTCTAACCCGCCCCTCTGCGTCGCAATCGGGGCGGCTTACAACAGTTAAAATAGTACAATAAAAACAATCCAATGTCCCAATCCCTCCTCCCACATCCCTCCCATACCCCTACACCTACTTTCCTCTTGACATCATCCTTTGGTGATTTCTACAGTTTCCTCCTCCCATTGTAATTGTTGGAATGCCTCTGCTAAGGCTTCATTACTGGCAGTATGAGCGTAAAGCTAATGTTGCCAATATTGTGGTTCCACTTTTTTCCTTCTGATCCTGCTCACCATTGGAATCTAGCCTTGAGAAGTTCTTGGAAATTAAATTTGGTGCTAGGCAAGAAAAAGTTTCCTATGCCTTCATGTATAAGACCACTCAGTTGATAGACTCTATATTTGTTAGGTGTATGAAGGTTTCAAGTTGTATCTAATATGGTAGGAACAACCTTTTTTTAAAAAAAAAAATGGCAGTTACTCTGATTTGTTTCCATCACAGTGACAGAGCTTAGGGATCAGCAGGTCAAGAGCAAGAAGCAGAAATACCCACCCAACTACTGCTTCCAAGCACACTCTTCTGAAAATGTATGAGCACATATATATAACTGTCCATCTTTTCCCCTCCCCTTCCCACAGTTGCTCGACTCCACCAGGCATTTGAATTAATAGCTGGGCTCATGTCACCCTGGCTCCTTCTGTTATGCAGTATACAAGAATCACCACTGTCTTCCTCATTCTTCCCTTTCCATGGCGAGTAGGATAGGGCAGGCCACTTGCAATGACCCAAGGTCTTGCCCAGGGGTTTACCACCCAGACCTAGCTCCAACCCTTCATTAGCTTTAAGCAAAGTACAGTCTGCACAAAGATATTTTCCCCATACA